CCCCCCCCCCCCCACGCTGGCTCGCCCTTGTCCGCCTCTCCCATCCCCCTCTGCTCCAGGGCTCCGAGGCCTGAAGGACTGGCTGGAGATGAAGCAACCTCCCCTCCTAAGCCCCACCCCACCTCAACCCCTGTTCTTGGAATTAGGAAGTGTGGTGAGAGCACTGCCTCACCAGGAGCTGGGGCGACTCCTGTGCCTGGGGATTTGCGACTCTGTCTGTCATCGTCCTGGGAAAACCAAGACCAGGAGAGGAGGCAGAACCCAAGGCAGAGCCCTTAGGAGGAGAAACAGAGACCAGAAATGCTGTCCCATCTGCTGAGAGAGGTCACCAAGATGGTACAAAAGGGCACTCTGGATGCCATTCGGGGGACAACTCCCAAAGAGCAGGGATCAGCATTGTCGCTGGAAGGTCTGGAGCTCCTTCCAGCAGGAGCACTTGAGTTGGAGTCAGAGGCCTGGTTCACATGTCATCCGACCTCTCTCCAAGACTCAGGTTCTTCTTCCACAAAATGAGAGGATGGAACCAGCGTAGTCCTCAGAGTCCCTTCTAGACAAAACTTTTTGACTCTTGACTGGCTGCTCGTTCTCTTTTTTGTGTGGTGCAAACTCAGAATTGCGAAAGCTCCCAGAACCTTCTCCCCTCAGCACCATGTTTCTGGAATGGAATGGGCAGAGATTGTGGGGAAAGGACAGATTTGGTATTCCAGTAAAACAAGGAAGCTTTTTTCCTTGTTTGCCTGTGTCACAGGGGACTCCCCTGGCCTCTAGTCCCCCATCTGTAGGGAAGTCTACCCTGAAGGGCAGAAACAGTCCTGAGTCACCTACCTGTTGCTCTCTGAAGGATTTCCACCTGCCCCACCCCTTCCCACCCTCCCTTCCCTGGAAGAGACAGTCAGGAATGGCCAAGGCCAACACCAGTGTATGGGCTGGAGAGGCATCCCTCAGGGCCCGGGTGGTCAGGAGAGGCCTCATGGAAGAAGGGGAGGAGGGCAAGCAGTGGAAGGAGAGGGGAGGCGGAGGGACCGAGGCAAGCGTTAGGGATGGGCAGGTCTCGAGGAGCAGAAATGAGTCAGGGCATCTCAGGTGAGGAGAAAAGCGTGAACAGAGACCCAGGCTTATGCAGGGCGTGCTGAACGGGCCAGCCTGGACAGTGTGCAGGGACCCAGCCCACAAACCTGCTGAATCCACCAAAACAAGGCCAGAGGATAAAAAACCAAAATGCCAAAATAAGGAGTTTGGGCGTCATCCTCCTGGAATTGAGGAAGATGGAGGTTTCTGAGCAGGGGTATAAGCTGGATCAGAGGGCCCAGGGCTGGAGGGCGGGAAATCAGAAGGCTATTGCCATAGTCCAGGTGCAAGGTAAGACTTGAGGAGGGGGGGATGGGACCGGGCACAGGACCGGAGGCAATGGACAGGAGAGAAGAAAGGAAGGAAGGAGAGAAATGGCAGGAAAAGGAAGGAAATAGCAACGGGGTTGAATGAACAACTTGATGTGGAGGCTGAGGGGGAAGAGAAAGGACAGGAACTGTAGGGGTGGCCTGGGTGACAGAGAGAAAGGGACGACTGAGGGAATGAGGAAACTGGGGGAGAGCGAGCTGGGATAGTAGGGTTCAGCAGGATCAGACATTAACAACACCCCTCCCCACAAACACATCACTAGAACTTAAGGCTTCGGGAGCAGCCTGGGAACACACTTCAGGGATCACTGCCTGCTAGCTGGCATGGACGCAAGATATCACCTTCTCTTCCATAGGACTCTCCTTTTCTGACTCAGCCCCCTTGAAATTTCTGGATATTTCTCTGCAAGTGGTCTGTTCAGTGGCCTGGGATAGACTCCTCAAACCGCAGGTGTTCCTCAGAAGTGAGGTCTGGAGCTCTGGGTTCCTCTGGGCTGGGCGGGGAGTATGCTTCCCCCGCACTGCTCCCACAGAGCCCTCCAGGCAAACCACCTGGAAAGCCAGACCCTGCAGAGGGCGGGGAGGAAAAGCAAGACCACCCTGCCTCACTGGACGGTGAAGAGCTGGAAGCTTCTGAATGGTCTCTCCCATGAGGAAGAAAGCATCCTCCCATCTTAATCATAGTAACCATTGTGTTTCCATTGACTGGGTGCCTGCAAAAGGCCAGCCTCACACACAGGATCTCATTCAATCCTCACAGCAACTGCCTGGGACTGTTATTACCCCCATTTACAGATGAAGAAACTGTATCTTTGATCCCGGGTCATCCTGGCTCTAAAACTTGTGCTGTTTTCCTTATGCCACTCTGTCTCTCATGTCTCCCACTGAAATGTCTCACATGCCATTGCCCTTATTCAATTCTGCCCATGTCTTCTCCAAAACACCATGCATTGATTCACTCCATAAGCCCTTGTGGCGTACATTCAAGGTGCCAGGCAAGCAGCTAGGCTCGGGTGCCCTGCATAGGTTTGTCACTCCATCATCCCTTCCATGGGGTATCATCTATGGGGCTTTGCGGAGCACCCAGCCCTTGCCTATAATTCACAGTGGACCTTGGGGTCCCAACACCAAATGGGTGGAAAGCACCAGCCCAACCTTCATCAACTTAAGTCCAATCTTGTTAATAATAGGACCTCACATTTACCTCATTCCTTACGTTTTACATAATCCCTTCTTTTCCATGAACTCATCTGATCTTCACAACAACCCCGTGAGATAGTCATTTACCCTTATTTTACAGGAATCTGAGGTTCATAGAGGTAATGTCACCTGCTCCACTTCACTAGTAAAGCCAGGACCAGAACCTAGGTTTCTGGGTGTTGAGTGAATGCTCTTTCTCTCTCTCCCCAGTGTCCTCTTCCACAAAAGGCCTCCCCCAGGTTCTCCCCTAGGAAGGAGGGGGCATCCCTTGCCCCCTATGTCATTACTCATTTTCAGCCACATCTCAACTCTTTTGCCAAATGGGCCACCCACATTCCCAGACATAAATCCTCTCTCTAAGCCTGCCCCATCTCTTTCTTCCCCTTCCTTCCTCCTCCATGGTCCTCCCTGCAGCTTATTCCAGCTCTGGGAGGCAGGGGATGGGACGGGGAACCAATAGTTGGAAGAGGGAGGGGGAAAGGTTCCTCTGGGCCTCAGGGGCCCTGGTACTTAGCTCTGCCCAACTCAGCTCCTGGAACATCAGCAAGGTTGCGCAAAAGCCAGGAGAGCAACACCAGTACACAAGGGTGGGGGAAAGGTTAGGCACAGGAAGCCGTGGGAGAGACAGCCAGTCGCGGGCCATCCTGACTTCCCCAAACACACCATTGTCTCCTCTGGGGAAAACTGTTGGTGAAGTCCTGGGTGTCTTATTCAAGAAGGGTCCTCCTGAGGTCACCTGGGCTATCCCCCTGCCTCCGGGCAGGCTGTTTTCCTTGTTTCTTCCAAGCTGACTGGTATGAACCTTTCTGCCAGGGAAACTGAGTCCTGGGGAGAGAGAGTGGCTGTGGGGGCACCAGATGTCCAGAGGGAGTAGGATTGATACACTGAATCCAGCTGTGACTCCTGCCCTTGTATTGCCACCTCCTCTTTGCTTGGTGTTCGGCGGAGGTGACGGTGATGTCACAGGTGTGGAGTGCCAACCACGTGCTGGGCGCCAAGCAAAACAGCTAGGGCAAGAGTGTGCATCATCAGTGCCTGGGAAGGAAGGCCACCAAAAAATGAGTCTGGTGGAAAGACGACAGAGGGAAGGGAGGCACCTTGCTGGCTGGGGCGGGGAAGACCAGGATAAAACTCTGCTGCAGCGAGGACCGGAGAGAGAAGGCTCAAGCTGGCCCTGGGGAGGGATGCCCCCTCAGCCTGCCTTACTCTGCTTCTTCCAAAGCTTGTAAATGCCCCAGACATGAGCCAGCCCAGGCCCCGCTACGTGGTAGACAGAGCCGCATACTCTCTCACCCTCTTCGATGATGAGTTTGAGAAGAAGGACCGGACATACCCAGTGGGAGAGAAACTTCGCAATGCACTCAGGTAACGTGGCCCAGAGCCCAGAGTCCTCTTTCCTCTGCTCCCCGCCAAAATTGTTCCAGCACCAGGGCATGGCTCCTGCACCAGTATACTGAAGGCAGGATTTAAGGAAGCCCTGGGGAGGTGAGGTTCTGAACCCTGAATTTGAGATCTTATAATCTCGTCTGTACCGAGGCCCCTGGAGGGATGGGGAGTAGGAGCAAGAACCATCCACAGCTTCAGAAGGTGGTGGGGTATCCCCAGCCCCCTGCATGGGGTTTCCCCATGTTCTCAGTCCACCCTCTCTTGGGCATTTCAGGGAGCTGTAGACGGATGTGCTACAACATGAAGGGGTAGGAAGCATCAGAGTCCTACTCCATGCCCTTTTCTCTCCTTACCAAAAAAACCTAAAGCCACCATCCCTTGTCCTCCTTACCAAAAAAACTTAAAGCTCCACCCTGTGTCCTCTTTCCTTCTGGACCTGTCCTCATTCCTTCACCTGGTCCGTAGAATGCCCAAAGGGACCCTAAATTCCTGGGCTCTCTTGAAGGGGACCTACCAGTCATGGTACAAGCCCCCAGGCTCTTTCCACTCTCAGGTCCCTGGAACTGAGAAGGTAGGTAGTGAAACTGTGTCTCTGAGGAAGGGGCTACACAAGGTGATCTGTGCCCAGAGCCCCAGAGCCTGAGGCCACGAGCTTTACCCTCCCCCTTCGCAGACTTCTGGCAGACCTCACTCAGGCTGTGGGCTGGCTCTCCCTCACTCCCCTGGGGAAACAGCTGATTCAGTTACCTGGATTGAGGTCACTGGCAATGGCTGAAGTGGAGTTGCAGGTGGAACTGGTTCAGGCTGGGGGAATCACCCACTTGAGTTTTTGCTAAAAGTCCCAGCCCAACCCTGCTTCTCTTGGGAGGCCCCATCTCTGCCCATTTGCAGTCAAGATCTTAGGTGCACAGTGTCTGGGCACTGTACCCATAGCTGTGCTCCTCAGACGGGTGGGCTCTGCCAGTCTGTATGCCCAAAGAGTTTAAGTTTGGGGTGCTTCTGAGGAATGAGTGGATCTGCTGTTGTCCTAAAAGATCAGGATGATGAAAACTATAAAGGGATATAGAGAACTAATAATTCCCATGTTGCTGGCATGAGAGCCATGAACAAGGCTGGCACACAAGAAGGTACTCCTGTAAATATTTGTTTAATGAATGAATGAATATCTAGAAAGCTAATTCTCTCCACTTCCTTCTTGGCCTCTGGGGCCTCTGCATAGGTGTTTCACACCTGTTTCCAGTTCTTCTTTCAGGCTTCAGATTTCTTTGCCCAACATCTGGCAGACTTGCAAGTACGATTGGGCATGTACTAGCCCTCAAATGAGTTGCTTTTCTTTCCCTAGCCAGCTCTCTATTCATCAGTCTAGTTTTCTCTGCCACAAACAAACCTGATAGAGCTCCTGCAAAGCTGGTTCTCTCTTAGAACAAGGCTTTAGAGATGCATTAAGCAATTCACCATCAGTACACCTCCCCTTCCACCATCCCAGGAATAGAAGAGGCACCCACGGGCCCCAGAGGAGACTGGGGAATCAGATGTGGATGGTGATGCGACTCCATGGAGTGTTAGTTGGGACAGAAAATCTGCCCAGTTTTTCCAGGGTACAAAGCATTGTCTGTGTTGGTTTCACAGGGGGACCCAGTGTCAGGGAAACTATTGTTGAGCAATAGCAAAGACCAAGAATTGGTGCTGGGCAGGAAAGGGCGCCTAATCAGAGCAGGCCAGTGAGTCACCAGATGGGCCTGAGTATTTGAGTTCCCTCAACTGGGAGAAGAAAAGCAAATGCCCCCCACCCCCTCCCTTCCAGTCATCAATCAATCCACAGCTGTCACCCTTGAGTTTGCAGGCCCTTGTTCCTACCGCTCCTGAGTTTCTATGAAAGGACCTCAAGGTGTTCAACAAACAGGGAAAGGATCAACTCTCCCCACCCTGCATTAATCAGAGAACAGCTCCCCCATTCTTCCCTCCTCTGCTGATGAATTAGCAGGGGAAAGAACTCTGGTATTGGAGCCATCACACATAAAGGATGGTGAGTCAGCAGAGGTGCACCCTGCAGGACAATAGAGCCTTCCTTTTGGGGGATGTTTTAAGAAAAATGGCAGTGGGCAGCCCCCGCTCAGACTGAGTTTCAATACCATCCCATCCTTTCACTTATTCATTCATTCATTCATTCAACAAATATTTACTAAGCATCCTGTGTAATGCTCAAGGTGTGCAAAGATGATCAAGAGAGACAGACTTCTCACCATGGTGGGTTTGCTGTCTAGTGGGAGAGACAGACAAAAACCAAGTGATTACAACACAGAGTGCACACGGAGCTGCAGAAGCCAGGGGAAGGCACCCAGGCCCGTGTCAGTCAGACAGGAACTCAGAGAAGCCTTTCCTGGAGAAGGCCATCCGAGCCGAGGGTGGGCCTGGTAGCTCAGAAGGCTGAGCCACCATCAAGTTTATACCTTTAAGCAGACTCTTGTAGACCTCCCAGGTGAGCAGCCAGCAGTCCCAGGGTGTGTTGATGGGCTCTCAAGACAAAATTCCTGCCTCTTCTTCTCAGTGTCCCTGGCACACAGGATTGTGTCGGCTCTCAGCATCAGACCTGAAATCTGAGTGAATTTTGAGTGAAAAAATGAATGAAATGAACAGGATATTACAATCCTCTCCAACTCAGAGCGTCCAACTCATGCAGAGCTGACTGGTAACCTGCCCTCTTCCTGTCCAGATGTTCCTCAGCCAAGATCAAGACCGTGGTGTTTGGGCTGCTGCCTGTGCTCTCCTGGCTCCCCAAGTACAAGATCAAAGACTATCTCATCCCCGACGTGCTTGGCGGACTCAGTGGGGGAACTATCCAGGTCCCACAAGGTAAAGAGGTCCCCTCAGCCAGAACTGGCCTGCTGCTCCCCATCCCTCTCCCCACCCCGACCCCTTCTCTATGTGACTCCTATAAGCCAGTTGTGCTCCTGAGCCCTCAATCGCTTTGTCCTCTGCAGGCATGGCATTTGCTCTGCTGGCCAACCTTCCTGCAGTCAATGGCCTCTATTCCTCCTTCTTCCCCCTGCTGACCTACTTCTTCCTGGGGGGTGTGCACCAGATGGTGCCAGGTAAGGCCTCTCCCCTCTCAGCAGGCAGGATGACCTGGATGCGTGGTGTGGCCAAGGGGGGTCGGGTGATTTTCCATCTGCATTCTCCTAGAGTTGGGGCTGGTAGGTCCTGAAGGGAGAGTCCCTATGAGTGTCAGTCCCAGGTCCTAGTTGACCTTGGAGAAACCACCGAGCCTCCATAAGCTCAGTCAGCAATACCTGTTCCATCTCCCTCCCTGGAATGAGAGGAAGACTTGGCAGAACAAGATTCACCATATGCTATAAAGGGCTAAACAGATGTGAGAAATCACTGTCTAACTCTCAGGCTAGTCCCAGGAGCCCACTGCAGGGACACTCAGAGTTCTCTGGTGCTAAGTGAGATGCAGAAAAAGGGCTGGTCACAAAGGCTGGTTTCTGGTTCTGGCTCTGCTTGTATTTCTAAGTGCATTTCCTCATGTGTCAAATAGGTAATATCGACAATTGAGGTGAAAGCACCTTGAAAAGCATAGATCGTGGTTAGATATGAATGGTTGTTGGAAACTTGGAGAGGATCCCTGGAGGTTTGGGCATCCATCCCTCTGGGGGTTTGGAAGCATTCCTGGGCCCCTTTCTGGCTTCCATGGGCGTGGTCCAAACCTCTGATTTTTGCCGGCTGCGTGGGGCACCACAGGTACCTTTGCCGTTATCAGCATCCTGGTGGGTAACGTCTGTCTGCAGCTGGCCCCAGAGTCGAAATTCCAGGTCTTCAACAATGCCACCAATGAGAGCTATGTGGACACGGCAGCCATGGAGGCAGAGAGGCTGCATGTGTCGGCAACGCTAGCCTGCCTGACTGCCATCATCCAGGTGAGGGACCCCCGTCCCTGCCAGGGCCCCACCTCAGGAGGGCCTCACACTGCCCTGCCCCTGCCTCAAAGTCCCCATTTTGGTGTTAAATCTGATTTAAGTCTCTACCTCCCCTCTCATCCCCATCCCAGGGCCAAAAAGACCTTGAAAATTCAGAGTATCTCCTCACCTGCATCTAGCATGACCATACATACAGCGATTACATCTGATAAAACTGTCCTGAGCCTAAAAACTGTCTAAAAGACTCCCAGCCTCTCTCCCCTACCCCTTGGAGAAACCCAGCTCTCTGCCAGCACAGTCTTCCAGACTGCTAAATTGCTCTAACATCCCCCTCTGGCGTCCTGCACTCCAAGCCACAGCATCAGTTACACAGCATAGACTGAGCTTCTATAAAGTACTGCAAAGGATTCTAGTAGGGTTTATGAAGAGAAGCACAGCACGATAGAATGCAAGAGCAGGAAGCAGCTTAGAGAGCACCTTTCATTCATTCATTCATTCAGTTAACGTTTTGTGCCAAGAACTGGGGACACAAAGATAAGTAAGAAAGAGGCCAGTTGACAAGTTGCTCACAGTCCAGCAGAGGAAGCAGCCACATCAACAGATGAAATTGCCTGCAGTGAGATAAACCACATGGTGGAACTACTCTTATGTAGCTGTAGGAACCCAGGAGAGAGAGTCAGAGAAAACCTCAAAGAGCAGATGACATTTGACCTCAGTCTTAAAAGATGAGTAGAAATTAACCAGTTATCAAATGAACAAGTTGCAGAAGGATGGTCCAGGCAGAGAAAACAGCACCCAAAAGCACTGAGGCCTAAAAGAGTGTGATCTGACCAGGGAAGGGCAAGGAGTTTGGTGTGGCTGAAGGATAGAGGGCCAGAGAAGAGACTGGAAAAGTAGGCAGGGGGCAGACAATGAAGTCTGGGGTCTGTACCTAAGCAACAGCTTTAGGTTCAATTAGCAATTTATGAGGATCATTGGGGCTGCAGAGAAGATGATGGGTGGGAGGTGGATCAGAATCAAGGCAGGGGACCTGTTGGGAGACTCCTCAGAGGCCCAGGCAGGAGTAATGAAGGTCTAGACTAGGGTGGTGGCCGTGGAGGGAGAGATGGGGGTGGACTTAAGGAACATTTTTTCAGGTGCATTAACAGGGCTTGATGATAGATTGGATGTGGGAGGTAAGGGAGGATGACTCCCAAGTTTTTGGTTGGGCAATCAGGTTTATTGTGGTGGTGTCATTTACTGAGAGAGGAAACACTGGGGGAGGACCAGGTTTTTTTTAACAGGTAAGGAAACTGAAGCCAGAGGTGAAGTGACAAAGAGGCCAGTGCCCTAAAGGAACCAAAGGTCTGATGGCAGGCACATTGGGTATAGTGAAGGGCAGGACAAGGTCACACAGGGCTCATTTCCCTAGAGCTACTGCTGTCCCAGGGATGCATGAAACTCCAGGCCTGGGGTTGGTCTGGCAGGTTGTGGGAGCAGCTGGCCCACCTTGGTCTCCCCTGCCGCCCCATTCCTCCTCCTTTCAGATGGGCCTGGGCTTCATGCAGTTTGGCTTTGTGGCCATCTACCTCTCTGAGTCCTTCATCCGGGGCTTCATGACGGCTGCTGGCCTGCAGATCCTGATCTCGGTATTTAAGTACATCTTCGGACTGACCATCTCCTCCTACTCAGGCCTAGGATCCATCATCTATGTGAGTCTGGGGACGCATCCCTGCAAATGGGGTGGGGCCCAAGCAGACAGAGTTTACTGTTTTAAGAAGTCGTGAACTTCTCATTACGAGATGTTCTCAAGCAAGGGCTGGCTGACCCACTGTTCAGAGAGGATTCCAAGAAGGTTCCCACCTTGGGAGGGAGGGTTGAACGTGTGACCTCAAGGGCTCCCTGTGGCTCTCTATGGTTAATCCCTGCGTAAAGGAGATACACACTCTCTATTAGTTCCACATTCCAGTGCCTCAACCCCTCCCTGACTGGGAAGTCCTTCCTTATGTCTAATCTTCAACCCTCCTTCTTTAACTTGAGCTCCTCTAGAGAAAAAAAAAAGCATTCCTACCACAGCATGAGCTCCAGATGTGCCCTTTGGGAGAGGGTGGTGGAAGATGGGGCGGTGTCTGTGACCAGGGCCTGGGCTCTGCTTTGGAGTGCCTCCATTAGCGTTGATGACATCCCTCCTCTGGGTCAGGCCCTCAAGGGTGGGAGTAGTATGGGAAGAAGAGGTGGGAGCCTGTGAGCATGATGCTCTCTCCTCCAGACCTTCATTGACATTTGCAAAAGCCTCCCCCACACCAACATCGCCTCGCTCATCTTCGCCCTCATCAGCGGTGCTGTCCTGGCGCTGGTAAAGGAGCTCAATGCTCGCTACATGCACAAGATCCGCTTCCCCATCCCTACAGAGATGATCGTGGTAAGGAGCTAGCGGGGGGTGGGAGCGTTTGGAGGGCCAAACTGGAGAGGCTGTGAGAAGAGAAATCCAGACCCAGTCAGGCCCAGGGGAGCCCCACCCATCCCCACCTACCTCCTCCACTGGCAGCCATTGAGACAGGAAATCCATCTGGAATCCATCCCATCCCCCTGCATATGGCTCTTCCTCTCTTCCTGCTCCTCAGGTGGTTCCTCCTCACGGAGGCAGGGGAGTGGGATTTGGGACCCCCACAGAAAGGGGAGACTTGGAAGAGCCTCCTGCCCTGTCTCCAATTTAGGGCCGATCCCCATTCTGCACTTTGGTGTTTGCAGGTGGTGGTGGCGACAGCTATCTCCGGGGGCTATAAGATGCCCCAGAAGTATCAAATGCAGATCGTGGGAGAGATCCAACAGGGGTGAGTCCAGGTAGCCCAGAAGCCTGGCCCCACCCTCACCACACCCCCCACCAAGGCCTGGGCTCAGAGACAGAGATGAGATGAACTCTGCGAAAGTGTATTATAAGTTGTGTGACATTGACCACATGGGAATTATCACTGTTCCTATTGGAAAGTGAGTCTTAACAGCCACACTCTCCCGTAAGTCTTCAGTCTATGCTGTTGAACAGAGCCTCTCTGAGCAGCCGCTTGCTGGCACTTTGCCTTGCTGTAATGCACTGGCTCTTTCCATCCATGCAGAAAGGAAGCTGTTAGGATCAACGAAATTCATCAAGCTTCGACTCTGCGCCAGGCATCACGCTGGGCCCTGGAGGGAGAGGGCAAGGCCATCCTGCACGCAGAGTTGGAGGGAGGGAGGCCTCGCAGCACCGGGGGCCTGGGAGTCTGGGACTAGTGAGCATAAAGAGTCCAGAACCCACGAGTAAACAAATGAGGTCCGGCCACTTACTGGCTCTGTGACCTTGGGCAAGTTGGGTTCTCTAAGCCTCGGTTTCCTCCTTCGTGAAACAGGAGTGACGGTGCCTACCCTACAGGGCCCTACTGAGGGTCTGGATCGGCTGGGATGACTTATGTAAAGACCCTGGCACACAGTGGGGGCCTGGCTGGTCCCTGTGGGCTGATGAAGGACTCCGCTGTCTTCCCTCTCCTCACACCCGGGGTCTTGCCTCCTTTCTGGCTCCTTGGCAGGTTCCCCACTCCGGTGTCACCTGTGGTTTCGCAGTGGAAGGACATGTTTGGCACAGCCTTCTCCTTGGCCATCGTGAGCTACGTCATCAACCTGGCTATGGGTCGAACCCTGGCCAATAAGCACGGCTATGACGTGGATTCTAACCAGGTAGCTGAGGCCGTCCCTGGCAGGGCTGGGCAGGCTGGGAAACAGAGTCCTGGCAAGAGATATCGTGGGGCTCTTTGGGCTGAGGTGAGGCAGGCTGCCTGCCAGCAGGGTGTAGGAGTCTCTGACCTCCTCTTTGTTGGGAGTGTGTGACTTTAGAGCAGCAGGTCACTGTCAATTCCTAGGCCCTAGACCAGCTTGCACAGGCTGGTCACAGGTTGGTCCCTGCCCCTGCCCCACTGCTCCTCTCCCCACAGGAGATGATCGCCCTTGGCTGCAGCAATTTCTTTGGCTCCTTCTTTAAAATCCATGTCATCTGCTGTGCTCTCTCTGTCACGCTGTCTGTGGATGGAGCTGGAGGAAAATCCCAGGTGAGCCCTGTACTAGAGGAGTGGAGTAAGGGAGACAACAGCACAGTTGCCCTGGGGACTCCAGGCACCTCAGGCCAGGCCAGCCCTTCTCCAGCCTTCCTCTTCCCTCCTGTCTTCACTCCAACAAAGGCATCCATCAGACACAAATCAAGAGCACGGGTTTCCCACCTATCCCCTCTTCCCAACTCTTTCTCTGAATAGGTGGCAAGCCTGTGCGTGTCTCTGGTGGTGATGATCACCATGCTGGTCCTGGGGCGTTACCTGTACTCTCTACCCAAGGTAAGAGCCCAGCCAGAGAGCAGAGGCCAGTGGGAGACTCCAGTAAGAGCAATCCCTAAAAGTGTGTAGCAGATTTCACGTTACAAAGTCCCATCATTGTCACACTTAATCACACCTGTGAGGGAGACAATGCGGGTTTTATGCTTCCCATTTTACAGGTGAGGGAAACTGAGACTGAGAGAGTCTAAATGATCTGACCCTGGTGAGAGCGCTCACAGTGCAGGGAGAGCCTCAAACTCCAGCCTCTGGCCTCAGAGTTGGATCCCCAGGCAGTGTTTACGAGTACCTGTGAGGGCCAGGCCAGCTATGCGGGCTGCAAGCTCGGGCCATGTAGGTAGGAGGGAAGAGAGGAAAGGTAAAGATGAGGCCGGGATGCACCACTGGCTCTAACGCCTGCACTTCCCAAACCTGAGACAGAGTGCAGAGACTCGGGGACTCTGCCTGGGGAGGTGTTCTAGAACTCCACCTCTGTCCTGCCGGGCTCCAGGGTCAGGTGGGTGTAGGAAGGGCAGGAAGACTGGGACTCCCCAGGTGACAGGGAGTAATGTTCTGCTTCTTTAGTCTGTGCTAGGAGCCCTGATAGCTGTCAACCTCAAGAACTCCCTCAAGCAACTTGCCGATCCCTACTACCTGTGGAGGAAAAGCAAGCTGGAATGTGTAGGTATCGGGCAGCCTCTGGCTACCCACCCCTGCTTCTGCCCCTCGTCCAACCCCACAGGCCTGTCAGCCGATCCCGTCCTAATGAGGAACCCTCTGGTCTGCTGCTCCCTAATTAGTATAGCCAAGGAGTTAAGAGTCTAGGTTTTGGAGTGAGACGGCCTGTGTTCAAATCCTAACTCATCCGTTCACTGGTACTGAAGCCAATAGCTAGTCCCTTAACCTCTCTGAGTCTCAGCTTTCTCATCTGTGAAATGGGTATTTTATATTCTCTACCCCGTAGGGTTTCTTATGAGGAAGAAATACGAGTAAGCCACATGTTGTCTGAATTGTGTTTTGTGCTCAATAAAATTTAGCTGTTCTTATTTTTATGACTTATAGCTCTGAAAAAGCAAAAGGAAAATGTTCCCCCTAAAATTCTAGAACATAAAGCCAGAGGACCAGGATCTTGAGGAGGCTGCTAGACTTCCCTGGGGTTCTATTTCCTCATCTATAAATGGAGGTGACAGTCATGGCTGCGTCACACACTGGTTCTGAGGATTAAGTGAGATCATAGCGGGAAAGCATATGTAACTATAAACATTCTGCAGATGATTTATAGTTATGATTAGTCACATACTCCATCCATTGGACCATAGTAACAGAGGCTACCATGTATTGACGATGCTGTGTTAATTTCCATGTAAGCCCCACTGTAACCTATGAGAAAGGACTTGCTAACCTTCTATAAAGACGATGAAACCAAGGCTCACAATGGTTGAGTAAATCATCAAAGGCCACAGAGGTAGTAAGTGGTAAAGTCTGGATTGCAACTCCAAGTCTTGGACTCCAAACCTCTGGGTTACACTGTCTCCTAGGGGAGGGAGCCTCACCCTCGTGGTGCAGGAAAGGAAATCCTCAAAGCCAAAGAAGTGAATGGTCTGTCTGGGGGTCTCCTAGTGAGGCAGTGATGAAAATAAAGAGAAAAATTACATCCCAATTCTCAGCCCAAGGATGTGTTTTTACCACACCCCAACCACCCCCCTGCTATGGCAATAGTCCCTTGTATTCATCTAGTGCTTGGTGGTCCCACCTGATCTCCACAATTCCCTACAGGAATCCAGGCAGATTTATTTTCTTTAGAGGACATCGGGGTTCCTAAAGGTCCACAGGTGACAATTATCAGAACTTCATCCAATCCTGCCCCCCGCCCCCACACACAGGCCCCAGGCCATCAGGTCAGGAAGCATTTGCCAGCACCTGTCAGAGCACGTGCAGTGTGTGTGCTGGGGTTTCTGTCACAAACACAGACAAGATCAGGCAGCCACACTCAATCTCAGGGAAATAGGCAAGTGTAACCAAAGCATAAATACATAAAACATTGCAAAAATGCAGTAAAAAGGGAAGGGTGGGTCTGAGGTTGTGCTAGCAGAGAATGGTTTTCAGCCTCCCTGAAAGAGGCAGTTTTCTCCCCACGCCTGCTTTTGACATCTCTCTCCTCACAGTGTATCTGGGTGGTGACCTTCCTCTCCACCTTCTTCCTGAGCCTGCCGTACGGTGTGGCAGTGGGTGTCACCTTCTCCGTCCTGGTCGTGGTCTTCCAGACCCAGTTGTAAGTAACAGCCTCCCCCCTCCCAGGCACAGCTGTGCGGGCCCTGGGCCACCTACCAAGAGCTCCCGTGCTGAGGCCTCGCTTAGCCCCCTGCTCCCTGCACTTTCTGGACCTGGCACTGGAGGTGCTGCCAGGCCCAAGGAGAGCCCAACCCAGCCAGGACTGTGGGCACAGGCTGGGTTGTCTGAGTTCCCTTATTGTGAAAACCCCACAGGAAGCCAGCAAGGTCTTGGAGGGCTGGGGAAGGAGGCAGAGAAAGTAGAGAAAGAGCAAGTGGGTGAATCCCAAGTCTTTCCAGAGGCACTGCCAGAACCCCAGACCAAGTGCGACCCCACCCCAGGGCAGAGGACAGATGCTGTGTTTTTCCTATAAAAAGATTTAGTAGTACAGGCCAAAGGTACCAGAGGGAGGGGTCCCAACCAGGGCAGGAAGGATGGTGAATTGAGAAAACCCTGTTTTCTGTTCTTGAGAACTCAGAACCAGGAAGTGGTGACTCCAGGGCCACTTAAGCTTGTCACCTTGTGTACCCACTCCCCTTCTCTCCCCTGAACCCCAGCTGGGAGCTATATCAAGGGCCTGACTGTCCTCTCCCTAGTTATAGTCTAACCATAGGTCTCCAGTGCAAAATGACAAACACAACAAGCCCAGGGTTGAGGACAGGACCTTGTCGTACCCCGGCTCTCCCCAGGCCCCCCACCAGGCCCACTTGCTGTTAGCTTTCTCTTACATTTCTCTTTTCCTTCTTCATGAAGTCGAAACGGCTACGCTCTGGCCCCGGTCATGGACACTGACATCTACGTGAATCCCAAGACCTACAACAGGGTGGGTAACGGCCACCTCTTTTGGCCTCCCTCTTCTGCCCTGTCCCACCCCAAGGAGAAGAGGTTTTTTAAAAAAGCCAATAAAGACATTTCTGTGACCTGAGCTCAGTCTCCCTGTCACAGGTCCAGGAAATTGAGGGGATTAAGATCGTCACTTACTGCTCCCCTCTGTACTTTGCCAACTCAGAAATCTTCAGGCAAAAGGTCATTGCCAAGGTAAGACTCAGTTGTTGGTGACCAGAGGGGCTGGACAGAGGGTGGCCAGAAGATGAAGCAGAAAGGGGCTGGGAGCCAAGAGCAGGCCTCCCCCTAAGGGGTCGGAGGTCAAGATTGCTGTGGCTCTCTCCCTACAGACAGGAATGGACCCCCAGAAAGTATTGCTAGCCAAGCAGAAATACCTCAAGAAGCAGGAGAAGAGAACAAGGCCCCCACAACCGAGGAATTCTCTATTCATGAAAACCAAGGTGAACCGAGGCGAGGGACAGCCCCCATGCCCTGCTTCCCTGCCCGTTCTGATCTTGCCCCCGGGTACCCCACCTCCAGCACCCAGAGAGGCAAAGACAGAAAGTCCCTGGGATCCCTGCCTGGTGGCCCCTGGCCATCCTTCTTGGGGAAGGGGCTGCCCGCTCCCAAGGTAACTACTGAGCTCCCATTGTCGCTCCCCATTTTCTTTTTTTTGTCTTTTTCCGTGTCCGGCAACGGTTTGCAACCCTCAGTGTCGCCCCCGTACCAGACCGGGACCGGCAACGGGATCGCAACCCTCGGTGCTGCCCCCGCGCCTCGCTCAGCCAGTGAGCGGGAACCGGTCTGTATGTGGGATCCGAACCCTCGGACGGGAGCGCTGCCGCGCTTCCCAAGCGGCGCACTAGCGCAGTGAGCCACCGGGCCGGCCCATCACTCCCCATTTTCTAGCTAAGACAGGATATGGCCCACGGACTTATGAACTGCCCCCGATGGGGAGCGTCAGTGAATTTCCCGGCGTGCTAGCCAGGCTGCGGTGGGTGTGGGAGTCCTGAGGAAATGCAGGCAGGCAGAGACAGATGCAAAAAGGAGCTCAGTCTTCTCCTAAGAGCCTTCCTCCCAGAGCAGTGAGAGGCTCCGGTGCCTCTCTCAGAGGGTTCTCCAACTCGGTCTGGGTCGGAGGAGACCAAGGGAGAGGCCTGTCCCGCGGGTTTGCGGGCTTGCGCTCACCACCGCCACACTGAGTTACCCGCGTGCTCCTGCACCTTCTTTGCCCCTCCCTCAGCCATAGCAAAGTCCCATCCAGTTTGATGGTCCTGACTCTGCCTCTCCTGCCCCACCCTCCAGACTGTCTCCCTGCAGGAGCTGCAGCAGGACTTTGAGAATACCTCCCCGATCGACCCCAACAACAACCAGACTCCTGCCAACGGCGCCAGCGTGTCCTACATTACCTTCAGCCACGACCCCTCCTCAGCTGCCCAGTGTGAGCCGCCGGTCCCTGCTGAGTGCCCCAGTGAGCCCAGTGACACACTGGCCAGCGTCCCGCCCTTCGTTACCTTCCACACCCTCATCCTTGACATGAGTGGAGTCAGCTTTGTGGACCTGATGGGCATCAAAGCCCTGGCCAAGGTGAGGCCCTGGGGGGGGGGGGTGCTGGCCCCCAGCCCTGCTGTCCCTTTCCTCAAAGCCCTCATTCAACAAGCTGGGGGATGCGAAAGTTTCCTAAGGATCCCTCCTTTCCCCAGACGTACATGACCAGGACAGGATGCTCTCAGCAGAGCAGGCCCAGACAGCCCATGACAATGAGTCACTGGAGGGGGCTACCAGGCCCCACTCTTCCACCCTACCCTAGCAAAGGCCATCCCAAGTTCCCTCTCAGGCCACCAGGGACCCACCCCAGGGTCCTCTGAGTAGAGTCTAGCTCGGTCCCTGATTCATGGTCTGCTGCCCCTTCCCACACTCACTGGCCAACCTAGAGGAGAAGAAGAAATAGCATCAGTGCCCCCACACCCTCAGGCCAAACAGGCAGCCCACAGGACATCTCGAATCATTGTATCCACCAGAACAACTTTTCAGCAGCAGCCTCCAATGGCAGAGAATCAGCAAACCTCAGAGGTGGCTCATGAGGAGGCAAACCAGGGGAAACAGAGGAACACAGAGAACTCACGGGCTGATGTCACCACCAGCCACGTGCTGGTGCCAAGAAGGCCCCCTCCCGAGCCTGGGGTCTCAGTTTGCTTCCCTCCAGAGATCTGGAGCCCAGGCCAGCCATGGTGGAAGCCCTGGCCTCTCTGAACCTCAGTCCTGCCCTGAAGCTTTTGCCTGAAGCCACAAAGTCAGGAAAGAAGTGGAGTTTGGGAATCTAAGCTACTGAAAGAAAAGATCTGGCCCCACAAGAAGGGGCCGTGATGACTTTAAGTGCCTGCCACATGGGCAAAGCCCCATTTCCGCCCACTTTCCAGAGGAGCCTCAGCCAACACTCCAGAGAAAACAGCGTGCTTTGCTGCTATTTTTATCCTCGGCTGCCAGGGCTCTCAGGGTGGCTTATCTTTTTGGTCCCCCTCTGAAGTGTGTTTAGTGAATCACTTTTGAGACCCACTCAGAACATTCTTTTCCTTTTGTCTCCCTCCGCACACCCTCCCCAACACTTCCAGCTGAGCTCCACCTATGGGAAGATCGGCGTGAAAGTCTTCTTGGTGAATATTCATGGTAAGAGGAAGAGGACATTTAGGGGACTGAAAGGCTGGCAAGGGGGCGAGGGTGGGAACAGGTTGGTAGGGGCTGAAGAGTAAAGGGGGTGAAAATGAGAGCACCCACATATTTCCCAAAACTGCTGCCTGCTCACAAGAGCCTCAGATAAATGTCAAAAGAGACTGGCTAGATCATAGAAACATCCTGGGGGTCTCAACAACAAAGTGGGGGTCATGCAGTTGAGAAAGGATAGCTAGGATTCTAATCTGCCCCATCATTAATTTGCCATGTATCTTTGGCCAAGTCGCTTTATCTGTCTAGGGGTCTATTTCTACCTATGTAAAAAGAGGGGGTCAACTGGATAAATTTGGGGATCTTTGCCAAATCAGAAAGTCCACAGATCTAGGGCCGGCCCGGTGGCGCACTGCTACAGTGCGTCGCTTGGGAGCACGGTGGCACTCCCGCCGAGGGTTCGGATCCCACATACAGACCGGTTCCCGCTCACTGGCTGAGCGAGGTGCGGGAGCAACACCGAGGGTTGCGATCCCGTTGCCGGTCCCGGTCCGGTACGGGCGCGACACTGAGGGTTGCAATCCGTTGCTGGACACGAAAAAAAAAAAAAAGAAAGTCCACAGATCTAGGGCCGGCCCGGTGGCGCACTGCTACAGTGCGTCGCTTGGGAGCACGGTGGCACTCCCGCCGAGGGTTCGGATCCCACATACAGACCGGTTCCCGCTCACTGGCTGAGCGAGGTGCGGGAGCAACACCGAGGGTTGCGATCCCGTTGCCGGTCCCGGTCCGGTACGGGCGCGACACTGAGGGTTGCAATCCGTTGCTGGACACGAAAAAAGACAAAAAGGAAAAAAAAAAAAAAAAAAAGAAAGTCCACAGATCTATATAAGCATAAAGCTTACACATACCCTAACTAGGGAACGTACAGATACGCAGTTTTACATGCATGCATTCTCCAAAGGGTGCATGTACACAGCCCCAAGGGCATGGCCACAGAGCAGTGGACATTCACATCATTAGCACATATGCAAAGTGCAGGGATGTGGAAATACAGCAAATGCACACAAACACACAAGAGAATGTGAAGGGACACAAACACACAGGTCTAGCTTCCTGCAAAGGATCAGATCCCTTCCAGCAGGGCTGCATGTCCCAGGCCCTTCAGAGAGTCCACTCAGGGAGAGAATCTGCAATGACAATGACCTGCTATGATGCGCTCCAGAGTTAGAATCAGTGGATTCGTCTCACCTCACTAGACACTCCCTCAGGAAACCATCTCTAGGATTTGGTAAGAGTAAGAATTCTGCCACACATTGGAAGTTGCTGGAAAAGTCTAAGTAAACAAGAGGAAGGATGGGCCCTTAGGGGATAGAATTGGCAGCAGCCTGCTCATGGACATTTTAGCTTTTCCCTCTGGAATTGCTACAAAGTACCAACTTCCTAAATCAAACTGCTTCCTTCTGCCCTGCGTTGAAGGTTCAGCATCCTCAAGCTCACATCGCCCTCTGCTGTCCAGAACTGATATTGCAATGCCAGTGCCATGGCCCTCGGGGACAGCAAGTCCTCCCCTCCCTGCTCTGGTCTCACCATCTTCCCCCACCCCCAGCTCCAACCCACGTTGGCTGTTATCTTTCTGAAGGTTATCTTTGCTCCTTCCAGCCCAGGTGTACAATGACATCAGCCATGGAGGCGTCTTTGAGGACGGGTGTCTGGAGCACAACCACGTCTTTCCCAGCATACATGATGCAGTCCTCTTCGCCCAGGCAAATACCAGAGAAGAGGCCCCAGCACACGACTTCCAAAGGGTAAGGTCCCTGCGCCCGGAGAATCCTATGGTCCAGGGCATTGCAATGGCAGGACCAAGGAGCATTAGAAAAAACGTAGGAGAAGGTTTGAGTTCCAGCACCAATTCCGCCATTTCATTTTCTGAATCTGTTTCCTTATCTGTAGAATGGACACCATCAGCTACCATTACCTACCTCACAGGCTTTTCCTCTTGTTTTAGGGTGAAATGATAATTATACCTTTCAGGTCACTTGAAAGCATTTTGTATACTGTAAAAATCCTTAATTAATATTAATGTCCTCAGTGTTCATAACACCAAGGTCAAGGGTTTGGATCCCCTTACAGGCCAGCCACCTAAAAACAAACAAAAGCATTAATGTCCTCATCTCACAGACACCCAAAGCGTAGGACATTATGCCTAGCATTCTGGCATCGCTCCTTCACTCTTTCTACAAGGGGATTTGGCGAAGGGGTGGGAGTAAGCCTGCCAGTTTTAGTTTAGCAGAGCCTGGAGATTTCAGGCTGGCGATGGATGAAGAGGCTGGGTTTGAGTTTTGACATTTGATTTACTAGTAAGTGGTATGCAAATGAGATGCAAATAACACTGTCTAGGATTCCAGAAAGCTGAGGAGTCAGAAAAAGCCCACCTCCTTGGAGCTCCTATCCGGATCTCCCCAGCCACCTCCCACCCCCCACGATTGCCTCCCAGCTCAGCCTCTGCCCTTGGTCTCCCAAGACTCCGTCTGTGCCCCAGCCTGCGGTAAAAACCTCCCTGCCTTCTGTGGGTCATTCTGGGCCTAGATCAATGATTTGCTCTTTGCCTTAAGAAACTGGTGAAGGTGAAGCCATCTGCTCTAAGTGCCAAAAGAACTGCCAAGGAAAACACGGGCTTCGGCTCCACACTTAGAGGGAAACTCTTGAGGGAGCAACAAGCTTTCCTGCTTCATGAACCTGTCCACAAAGCAAAGAGAAGGAGATTCCAGATGGATCCTCATGATTTGTTATTACACTAATAATATCCAGTGATTACCATTTATATATAATTTATTGTTTATATGTTTATAAATAATTTATATTGTATGTTACATATTTACCTATTCCAGAATATATGCATATACATAAATTACATACACACACACCTTTCCAACAGCATGGTGAATTTGATGATCCTGCTCTCACAGATGAGGACAAAGATTCTCAGGGACAGGAAGGGAATTCCTCACAGTCAGGCGGCTAGCCAGTCACCCTTGTAGCTAGGACAATTACAGGCCCAGAAGGGAGGGCAGACCCTGATGCACATCTGTCTGGAGTAGGGGAGGACCACTGCTGTGCTATACTTTGTGAGGCAGGAGGGGAAAGGGGTGACAGGATGAGTAAGGCATCAGGAACACAATGCCCCCCAGAGCCCGCCATGTGTCCCTCCTCTGCCACCATGCTCCGACTTCACTGTTCAGTCACTGGAGCTCATCCACACCGGCTTCCCCCTCTCCAGGCTCCAGTGGACCCCGAGCTCTCCTTGTACGATTCAGAGGCCGACAGTCCCAGCTACTGGGACTTAGAGCAGGTGAGCTGAGGGACAGGGATGTGAGGGTGGGAGAGGCACAGCAGAGAGGGAGGAAGGGGACACTTTTAGATACAAGGGGTTCATGGGGCTCCCTCACCTCCAGGCCAGAAAAGTCACCTTGAAGGCAACAAGTTTCATTCTTATCCTTCTGTTAGTAGCAGATCTTAACTCTTCTCAGCCCTGAGAGGCATGATGGGGGACAGGAGAGTCACTGACCAAGTCCTCAAGAACTATCTATTCTTAACTAGCCATCACGCCAGCCAGGTGATCTTGGGCCAGCCACATGATACCTCTGGCCCCCAGCTTTGTGATCTGTAAAACAAGGGAAATAGGGGTAGTACCTGTCCCATCTACCTCCCAAGATTAGTGGGGGAAGTCGTTCATCTTTCATTAATTCAACAGGTATTTCTAGAGGGCCTACCACTTGCCTGATGCAGTCCCAGGGTGGGCACATACGAGGGTTCTTCAGAAAGTTCATGGAAAAATAGAATTGAAAGATGGTATGAATCCTTCCATAAACTTTCTGAAGTAACCTCATAGCAGTGAACAAAACAAAGGCCCCTACCCTTTGGAATCTTGTATTCTGGGAGAATTGGATGAATTCTAGGGGTACAAATGAATTATTATTGCATGTATAATAATATTTACAATAATATGTAATAATTATAATTTACAAATGAATTATATTGCAATTATTATTTATTATGAACTAAAAGCTATGCAGATAGGAGGGGTTACTATCCCCACAGGGCCCGTGAAAATTAGCACTACTCTGATGCCCTGAATTAAAAGAAGCCAGATGGCTATGTTTACAGAAATCTGGCTAAGGGTGTATTCAAAATAACATCTCTTTGTGCCTCTTCCCTTCTTTTTTGGGCTCGAGTTCCATGGTCCTCTGAATACATCTTGCAGAGTGCTGATGGCAGGTGGGAGACATTAGAAAATAGAGCTGGATTTGGCAGACTGATTTCTGTGCCCCCCCCCCCGCACACCCCCCTGGAATCTCCAGCACATTCCAAAAAATCTGGATAGGACCAAAATAATTTTTCAAAGTGGAAAAGGACTTTAGAGTTTATCTAGTCTCAACCTTGATTTTATCTAACATAGAAAATAGAGCCAAAAGGGGGAAGGGCCATGTGGAAGGTCACACAGCACACCCAGACCATTCAAAATTAGATTCCAGCACCTTCTCCTGTCGCTGCCGAAGCTGCTCAGCTCTCAGACTGACCGCGCCTCTCCCTTGTGCACACCCATGCTCACTCTCACACGTACAGTCTCTCGCAATGCCTCTTTCTGGCCAGAGGTCCATAGGGTCAGCTCCTGGTTGCAGCCACCTGACTCCAACAGGTCTAACAATCTCCCTTCTCCCCCTTCCTTCCCGTGGCCCCTGCAGGAGATGTTCGGAAGCATGTTTCACACAGAGACCTTGACCGCCCTGTGAGGGCCCAGCCAATCCCCATGCTGCCTCCAGAGCGCCTGGCACGTGGGACTTCCATGAAGGATAAGCCCATGAGCCTGGGATCACAACTAGTGACAGGGGGAGGAGAACACGTCCACCAGGACTTGGCTCCTTTCTCGCCTCCTCCTCCTTTCTCCTCCCCCTCCCTTCCTCCTCGCATCTCTAGAGAGAGCATCTCAGCAGCAGGAGAGCCTGCTCTGACAGGAGTGAGTCTGGCGAACCCACCTCCTCACCCCACCCCTGAGCCCCCTGCCCCGCCAGCCCTGCTCACTCCAGGCAGCAAAGCCTCCTGCTCACTCCACCCTGCCCAGCCATGCCCTGCTTGCAGCAGCTGCTGTACACCTTGACTTCCAGTCCTTAAGAGCCAAGAACAGAAGGACAAGTACAACTATGCAGACCTGGTGTCCTAGAGCCTGCATGGCTCGGTGTCAGGTGGTGTCGGGCTGTCACAGGATACAGGGATGAACTTGGTTAGGATTCTGTGGCTCGACTCCTCCAGCCATCCCAACTCTGTCCCTGGCAGCTCTGCACCATGGGGAACATGTGCTCCCCACAACCCAGAAGTCTCTGTCTTGGTAACTATGTCCCTTCCTCCTCATCCCAAGGCTGCCATGACCTCCACTGCTGTTTAGCACATCAGACTCTAGCCTGGGCAGTGGCCAGGGCCCTCCAGACCACCAGAGCTACCTCCCCAGGGCCAGCCCACCAAGGCACTGCCTCAGTCTCCTGAAAACTCATTACCCCTGCCCTCAGGGTCAACTCCTTTCTACTCATCCATCCTTTTGGGGTTCCAACCCCTGGCAGAATTCTCTAGCAACCTAGCAATAGTACCAGGTATTCTGCACAAAAGCTTTTGGAAATCTCTTTTTGCACCAGAGGGGGGTGGTGCTAGTGCCAAACCAAGGCAAACTGTGGGACCTGGGCCCTGACAGTCCCCCTGACTTCAGGGCCTATCAGGGAAACACCTCCGCTTGGCAAACCTGCCTTGTCCTTCTCCACTTGGCAAAGAGCCAATCATTCTAACTCTGCCTTATCGGCTTGTGGCCCAGACCCAGGATGGGGTCCTTCTGCCAGGCAAGGGTAAAAGCCCTCCAGGGACCAGCTGCATTTCCCAACTGGGTGCAGACGTGGAAAAGGGTTGATCTAGGTTGGGACTTTGTCCACAGGGATTTCTTAACAACCTAGGACCTGAGACCATCTTCTAGGAAAGATGAAAATAGAGGTTAAGTTTTCCATGTATATAGGGAGGTAACCAGAGTAACCCTACTGTTGACTTGAAAATAAATGGGTTCCATGTGCAAGTGTTTTGTAAAATTTCCATGGAAGTGCACAGAAAATCTTCAGACCTCTCCTCACTGCATCACCCAAGCTCCTTCCACTTAATGACCCCTACCCCAACAAGCTGGGCTGGCCTAGCCTGGAAAACATCCCAGTTCCTAACTCTGACCTGACTGTGTTTTGTGTCTGTGTGTTGGGTGAGCTGACCAGCCAGCATGTCTTCTTAGAGTTAAAAGAGGGAGTGCTGGCAGAGCCAGCACATTCTTGGCCCAAGAGCATTGCTTCTCTGTGCATTCATTATGCCATCAAGCTGCCAGTGAAACTCAAAACTTGGAAGGCAGAAGACGATGTTATCTGGGATTCACTGTGCCCAGCACTTGAAGTGCCAAATTCCAAGAGGACAAGAACCTTAGCCAATGACAACTCACCCTCCCCTACTCCACCTCCTTCCAAGTCTATCTCAGGCCCAGGAGTTGGGGAAAAGTCACAGGGTCTCAGGACATCCCAAGTCAGCATTCCCCTTTGAACCAAGTGTCCAGATCCCCTGAGGACTTGATGAAGTGACCGTTAACCCCAAGGCCGGCCTTAGAACTGAGGGGAATTGCTGACTCAGATGGCCTGGCGTTGGGGCTCAGGAGGGATTTGCAACACATCCAGGGGTACAAGTGCTCACAGAGCCCACTGCAGATGTACAATCAGAATCACACGAGGCAGAGGGAGGACACGGAAGACAACTTCACTGTTGGAGTACTTCAGAAAGAGCACAGATTCACACAGATCACTCTTCTGGAAATGATTGAGGCAGGAAGCGGGGGGCAAGGTAGCAAAGTAATCCAGAATTTCAATACTTCTGAATGTTCTTAGTGATATTGACCTGTGATGATAGGATTCCCGGGGAGGACTGGGAACATTATCTCTTGACATATTTGTGTAATTTATTTAATTTAAATGCCATTCTCCTTTTGTTCATTTTGGTAATAAAGTGTTTTTGAAATGAGAACAAATGTGTGTGTTAGGTGGTGTTTTAGTCCATTTTGTGTTGCTATAACAGAAATACTTGACACTGGGTAATGTATAAAGAACAGAGGTTTATTTGGCTTACGATTCTGGGACAGCTGCATCTGGCACGGGCCTCAGGCTGCTTCCACTCGTGGTGGAAAGTGGCAGCAGCCGGTGGGTACAAGCAGATCACATGGCGAGAGGAAGCAAGAGAGAGAGAGGGGAGGTACCAGGTCCTTTTTAACAATGAGCTCTCACAGAAATAGATTGAGAACTCACTCATGACAACCCCTGTCCCCCACCATGGACAGCATTAATCCATTCATGAGGGATCCACCCCCCATGACCCAAACAGCTCCCAACACTGCCACATGGGGGATCAGATTTCCACATGAACTATGGGGGGACAACACATCCGAACTCTATTGGGTGTTTTTACAGAGAGGCAAACAAGTCGCCTCCAAGGATAGCTGGCCTTGCTCTGCACTATCTTGAGTGGAGGCAATGAGGGCCTGAGACTTCTCCGTGAGCCTCCCGGCTCCTCTCCAGGTTCTGGTTTCCCACTCCTGGGAATGAATAAACTTCCATGATCCAGCTGAAGAGCAGAGATCGGAGACAGAAGACTGGGCTGGGAGATCCACAGACCCAGGACCAGCTCCCAGAGCCAACTCTGTACCTTCACGGCTGTGAGAGAAGTCACAGTCCCATCATCCCTTCTGCATACCCTTCACTCACTGATTCTTCCACGTTCTGGAGGTGTCTGTTAAGGGCCAACCCCAACAATGCTCAACAAAGCCTTCAGAGTCCTTCGTTTGGGGGAGCACACAATCTAACCCCACTTTTCCCTCCCCTGTGTGTGAGACAATGTGAGATTACTCTCAAGTGTCCAACAAGCTAGGCTGACTCCCAACTTTGTTTACTAACAGTAGGAAAGGGAAGGAGATAAGAGGAATCACAGGAAAACAAAGAGCAAAGGCATGATGGAGACAGAAATAGGATGAAGTGGGAAGAGATGAAGGACCTAAGATAAGACAAAGCAAAGAGGGGAGGGAGTTGAACGGTCAGTGGGACAGAGATACATGGGAACAAAGAGTTGGGGAGAACTAGGAGGGGGAGAAAGGGGTGAAGGAGGGGGAGGATGCATTGCAGAGGCAGAGAAGTCAGCAAGTTCCAAAATGATATTTATTTAAGATAAACTAATCTTGCTTTATCCTGCTCTTCAGCTAGGCTGTGGGATTTGGACAAATTAGCAATTAATATCCCTCCCGTTTGTGTTTTAGATTTTTTCTAATGATGCTATCTTAGCCTGAATCCCCCTGAAAGTAGAATCTGAGACAAAAGCCTCTGCACAGACTATTTAAGAAATGATTCCAGGGAGCAAGAGTGACAGGCAGGAAGGAGGAGTGGAATGGGAGAGAGAGAGAGAGAGAGAGAGAGAGAGAGAGAGAGAGAGAGAGAGAGAGCCAAGACAAGGATGAGTCACAGAGGCAGCCACTGGGAAGGGCAGCTGGAGCCTCACCCCACTGGGCCTTCCCAGGGGCCCTATGAGATGCATCTGCAGACTGTCCTGGACTAACATTTAACCATCACTCCCATCTTCTATCGGTCAAGGGTGGCCCCATGGGTATTAAGACTCCAACAATTACAGGTTGCATGGATAGGAGTGCAGAGCAGTTCCCAAGGCATCCCATGCTGTGGCATCAGGGAAGCCCCCTGGCAGGAGAGAAGAGGCATGACATGGTTGCAGGGAGGGTACTTCAGCACTGGAAAAATATATTTATCATTTTAAAATATATTATCATTTGATAAATATAAAAATATATTTATCATATTTATCATTTTTAATGATAAAAATATATATCATTTTAAGATTTTTATCAAGAATAGATGAAGAGAGATCAACATCTGGCCTGACAGTGTGAGGAGCTCCCCTAACCAGCTCCCCAGTGGAAGTCGCGAAAATGACTTTAAAAAAAAAATGTGTGTGTGTGTGTGTGTATAAAGCTCTAGAAATAGTTGTAAAGGCAAACAGCAAATGAAGAAATATCTATTCTATAAAAACTCAGTAAGAAAGGCTAGAATCTGTGATATCTGAACCAAGATCATCTCTCCCTCCCCCTCTCAATTTAGCAGGGCAAAGACTCCATTCCAGATGGCTACAGCCAAGAACACAGGGTTCTGTCTCTCTGCAATTCCTAACCAGAGGGCTTTCTTCCCAGGAAGGACAGCATTTCAGCATTTCTCCCCTGTGCCCAGCTACCTTTTGCTGAGGCTGAGTCCTGGGTGAGTGCGGTCAAGAGACAGGGGCTCCCTTCTCCCCCGTTTCCAACCCGTGCAATGGAGGCTCCTCCTTGGGTGCAGTGTGCTGACAATACTGGAGTTCCAATCACCTTGTCTCAGCTTGCTGACAGCAGTTCCACATGAGGAGAGGCAAGCTGAGAGGATCTTGGGTTGCTGACCACCAGCACTGTTCACAAAGTGCTGAGCTCCTAGAGTAGGGGTGTAATGCAGACAGAAGGTGCCACTGTCCCCACCCTCTAGGTCCAGAGCTCTGGCTCAGTGATTTTGCCTGGGGGAAGAAGCAGGCCATAAAACAGATAGCTCCTAATTTCTTCTCAAAGGAACTGATTTCATTTGCAACAGAGCATGGACAAGCTCAAGCCTAAGGGTGCTCTCAAGAACAGTAGGGTTTGTGGTTAAAAATA